AGCAAACAATATATGAGCCCCCTAGATCACAAAAGGGGGCTTATGTCATTTCTGAACATTTTGAGTTATCTATACTTTGACATTGCTGAATCCCAGCAGATGACTCTGTAAAAAACCTACCGGTAGGTACAAAATCGTACTCTTTCACAGAGTTATGGGTGTTATACTGAGTGAATTATACAGCGTTTTATGCGGAAAACTCAACTTTGAAATGCATGTTTCTCAGTACTGCGCGAAACGACATACGTCTCCTTTCAGATCTAGAGGCTCATATGTGAAATATATAAACTGGTCCTTTAGGGGCTACTCTAACCCTTCGGTATAGCATATGTACAATAGTATACACGGTAAGGTGGAAATGTTAGGTACAAGGCGGTGGCAACAACAAGATTAAGCATTTGCAGCACAGTGGCTGTGTGGTAGATGGGGTTGCTTGAGATACATGCTGGTACAGATTCTCATCGCCAGTGGCTTCTTCTAACTTAATTGTCCTATTTTTTTAATTTTCTTTTTGAAGTGGAGAGAAAATTTCTACTTCGAAGTAAGACCATCGAAAGTCCAAAGATTATGATGCCTGAGTCGTCAAATAGGGAGTCAAATACAGCGTCGTATTTGACCGGCAGAGATCAACAGAAGTAGTGGGGGCAAATACTAAAAACAATTACATTACCAAATCAAATTACAAGCGATGATAAAACAGCGAGCTATGTCCTAAATTAGCAAACACTATACACTAGCAGATAGTTGAACACCTCTTCTAGCACTGAGGCAATGTCCCCGTTCATCCCTTTTGGGTTTTCTTGAAATGGACAATTTTCAATTTTTCCACTCGACCATGCTCAAAAATTAGGCCTAAGTCATATCTGCGCAGGAAAGCTCGCCCTCCTCGACGTGTAATGAGCAATTACTACTCCAATACCACTCCCACCGCTGCAGAAAAAAGTGTATTGTTGACTCTGACAAGGAAAAGCAGCCGTGATCACTTGTCACTCCAAACGACAAGCTTTTCCTTGCGCCACCAACATTTTTTGGTGCAACAATTGATGCAAAAGTGACTGAAGTATAATATCTCTAAATGGCTGTGTGTTTGGCTTGACATCGTGCAAAAGTTCTATTGCAAACATACAGCTAAAGACACCTTCGAATTCATTGACGTCCTTCGCTCCCACCCAGTCCCGGCCTCCGCGCATATGTGCTCGTTTGATGTTGTGAGTCTATTCACGAACGTTCCGCTAGAAGAGACTATCAATATTTGCCTAGATGTGTTGCACCGAAATGATGAAGTTGATACGCCGTGGATATCGGAGACGGCATTCCGGGAACTTATGTTGCTCGTGACGACTGGTGTGGAGTTTTCCTTCAGTGACATTATGTATAGGGAGGTTAATAGGGTCGCCATGGTCTCTGCATTAGGTCCAGTACTGTAAATATACAAAATTTCGGCGCTGCAAAATCTCGGCACTTCACGATTTTTGACATTTCGGCGGCGAATTATTTTCGGCGTGGGGTAGAGGGCATGGTATAATGTGACAGATGCTGTGAGATATTACATCGGCGTTTTAATTTAGGCGTTTTGGGTCGGTGCCGAATATAGCCGAAATTAAATAGCTGCCGAAAATTTGTATATTTACAGTATAATAGGGTGCTCATACTACGTTCCAAAACGGGTCACGTTTTGAAATACGCCGTACTGGCAGACGTCGTTTTCATGCCTGTGCATTCACACAAGCACGTACAGTCTGTTCGTACGGCTGTACGTACAGCTTTTTTTGGACACAGCCAGGGAGTCGCATTCACGGGAGGTGCGGTCCTGGCCAGGGCGTGATACCACTGGATATTTGGAAAGAGAAAAGACTCTAAATGCAGAAGCGGAGTGGAGCTACGGCAATGATATACCAAAAGTGGCGCAGCAGGTACAATCGTACAGCTGACCAAATGTTGCTACATCCACACGGAAGGCTTCCAGATACTTTTTATCCTCGTAGTCTGGAAAGCGTTCGCCAATAATCCGCCACGTGCCCATCACTTCACGCTCCCAGCGTCCATCCAGATCAGTTTCTGAGTGCGCAGACCAAAATCTCCTTTTCTTGGGAAGCTCACTGAATAGAAATAGGAACGGAATGAACATCATGTCGCAGGACATTGGTCCGATCTGACGACGGCGTGATGATTTTTGGTGGAAATGAAAGGGGATCGGCGGCACGGTGTCAGCTTTTGGAACTTGCTCCTGTTCGATGCTCTGATCTGGTGGCAACTGTCCCAAACCACGAAAGAGCAGAAGTGCCATCAAGGCATGCCCCTTGATGCTGGCAATATCCATATCAAAGAGAAAACAGAGAAGCAAAAGAGAAACACATCTGTTCACGTTGTGATTGTCTGTCTCCTTGCATTCGTTCTGTTGCTCGTTTTGTTCCATGAAAGCTCTTGTCACCACGTGTGCGTTTGTCTTCTTTTGTAGTTTTAGTATCCAAATGTGGCACGGTGTGTTCATATTTGTCTCCTATTGGTCTTTTTGGGCCGGCTCCTACTGGTGTTTCATGTATGCACACGTGTACAACAAGATCGGCCAGCGCATGGAGAAGGACACAACCCATCTCAGAAGGACCATATGCGGACGTAAACGCATGGCAATCTTCTTGGAGTGGATGGCCCACTGCCCAGCGTACCATATACTCGGTACAGACTACCACATTGGCACATCGACTGTCCATACAATCGTTCAGGATGGCGTCGAAGTGTTCCTGAATTCATGCCGCAGGTGGTGACATTCCCACGGGGCGAAGAGCTGGAGCAGACCATGCAGGACTTCCGAGGCTTGTGCCACCTACCTGGGGTTGCGGGAGCACTGGATGGCACATTCATGCGAATATTAAAACCCATTGAACACGGCGATACGTACCACTGCTGTAAGGGGTTTCCTGCCATAGTCCTGTTGTTGTGCGTAGATGCCAGAGGCGTAATAGAGTATATTAATGCTGGAAGAGCGGGCTGTATGGGCGATGCCTACACCTGGAACACATGTAGCTTGCGCCACGGAATAAACAATGGGGATTTCCTTCCTCTTGGTGCATCTGTCAATGTCCTAAACCAGCAGGTCCGTCCCTACCTTGTTGCTGATTCCGCTTTTGCTGCATCGCCAACCATCATCAAATGCTTTGATGGCAACAACCTGAATGGCCCACGGAAGAGTTTCAATTATGCAGTTATTCGAACGAGAAGGGTCGTTGAGAATGCCATTGGACGCCTGAAAGGACGATGGAGTATTCTCGTGCACAATTTCATCCAAGATCCGAAATTTGAAACACGTGTTTCACTAGTAGCAGCTACATTGCACAATGTCTGTGAAAGATGCCAGTGTCCTTTTGAGGAATCCTGGCTTCCCGCGCCAACAGTTGAAGTTCCAACTCATGCTGCTGTTCCCCAAGCTTTGGTGAATGAGCCTGACCAGATCCGTGAGCTTCTGGCCAATTTTGCCCATCAGCGTCTGCATTGACTCTTGTGTGTAACAACCCTGTCAGCTGATACGTTACTTTATCATTTTATTATACAACTAGAGGCAGATTTGATATATGTTAGGTACCTCCTCCCGTACCTTTTCTAGCTGGCCTGCATGCACTTGCGTACGCACCTTTTGTCTCCTTTTGTTCCGTTGGCCTGGGTAGCTACTTGCGCCCCCATATTTGCCATAGCTACCCAGGCCCTGTATCTTGCCGTTCAGACTTGATCTCTTCCTCTCTCTTTTCTCACTCGTCAATAATCACCATGTAGTCGTTTCGTTCGTCTTGGTCATTTGTCTCGTCGTCTATAATAAATGTCGTTCCCCCAACCTACCTGTTCCCGTTGTAATGTCTGGATATGTCGTCAGTCGTGCTGTTTCGAATTCAACATATAGCTGAACTCTCTAGTCTCTCAATATCTTTATGAAGAGGACATTGAAAGACTTTTTCATCATCTTTGTATTGTTTGAAGAAGACATTCATTGTCCAAACGTCAAATAATATCAGCATCCATCAGGTATTGCTCTTGTCGTGTGATTTGGTTGCATTGAAAATGAATCTTCTGGCTGGACCTTTGATGGCGCGTCATGGTGTGGACAATCAAGTTGTTTGCTGAATCATTTTATTTATTGACGCGTGTCTTCTGTCGACCTCATGTTGTGTTGTCGGTGGAATGAAACCACACCATAAATACCCAAAAGTACACCCTCCTGGAGGCACAGACATCGCAATAACGCTCACTCTCATATGCTAACACTCGTAATCACACCCATATAGCCTGAATCGCCAAAATTTTGGTGGAAAAGGGGTTCGCATAACACTCAAAAATAGGAGACCATTATGATGACAAAACTGTAACAATAGATTCTGAAGCACTGTATGACGAGTTAAACACGAACACACAACATACGCCTGGGGAATCAAGAACAAAATTTCTTCATGAGAGACCCCATAAACTCCATGCTTGCCTGCTGGAGGACCATTGAGCCCCGCTGGGAACTTTCCTGCAGATTCTGCTTGAACTCCTGGTCCTCCTTGGCTGATTTTTGGCGCCGTTCCTCTCTTTCCTCATCTTCTTTCCTCCGATTTTTCTCGATCTCTTCCTCAACCTTTCTTCGTTCTAAATCACGCTCTGTTTCTTACTTCATCCATTGTGTTTGGATGGCAGCTGATGTGTATCTATATTCATTACGTCATAGTTGTACTGCATGCACGCACACACACGGATTAGTTGAGTGTGCTTCTTTTTCCTGTTGGTCTTTCTCATGACATGTATATGTTTTGTTTCCGTTCCCAAGTCTTCACGAATAAATAGTAACGTATCATGGCACAGTGAACTTGTTCTTTCCTGTGTCCGTGCCTTGTGTCCGCACCTTGTAGTGTTTGCACGGGCCCAGTTGTTTTTTCCGTATGAAGTAGTAGTTTCCGCGATCGAAACTCTGTCTCAGTTGAATTATTTTAGTAGTGTATTTGTTCGTACTCGTGGACGAGTGACTAATCGTAATGGAACAATCACAGGACGATACCGGATTTGACCTGTCCTCCGCGACCGAGCGACAGCAGGAATCTCAAATGGGTGTCCTGATGAAATTTATGGTGCAGCAGATGCGTGCAGCTGAGGCTCGTGATAAGGCGATGCAAGATCTGTTCAAGAATGTTCAGAGCAGGTCGCTATCACCATCGCAGCCTCAGTTCACTCCCCAGCCCTCAGCACCAGCTCAGTCCACCTCGCAGACCTCAGCACCACGGCCAGTGAACAGTGTTTCCTGCCCACACTTATTGTCGTCTGCGACGCTGGCTGATTTTCACTCCTTCGTTGAAAGCTGGAGAGATTTTAGTGTTTGCCAGCATTTGGCCAGCCAGGCTCGTGAGGCCAGAGTGGCAACACTACGTCAGTGTTTCGATGAGGAGCTGCGACGTTTTATCCAAGAGGATATTATTTGCATACCAGCTTCAGCTGACGTCGACCTGATGCTGGAGCGCATTCAGGCGTATATCAGACGGCAACGTAATCCACTGTTGGACCGCATAGAGTTTTACCAGCGTGTCCAGCAAGCTGGAGAATCATTTGATGCGTTTTACACAGCCCTGTGTGAACTACAAAGTGCATGCGACTTCTTGTCACACAGCCTATGTGGAACGTGTGATGCTCGCTGCTGTGCGCAGTGCAAACGCCTCGGCCGTACCCTCAAGGAGGAATCTCTGCGCGACCGCGTCGTAATTGGTGTGCGGAACGATGAGACGCGACACAAGTTGCTCGCAACTCATGGTCTCACGCTCGACCAGGCTGTCACCCTCTGTCGGACGGAGGAAGCAGCATACCACACCAAGGCAAACATGCCTAGTCCTGGCCTCCAGGCAAGTGCTGCCAAGCAGTCGGCGTACAAGCAGCAGAAATGTCACAAGCCAGCTGACTCTAAGCCAAGTGAGACATCAAGTGCGACCAAGTCCACTTGTCCGAATTGTGGTCGCTCTGACCACACGAAATCTGTATGTCCTGCCAAGGGCAAGAAGTGCAACTCCTGTCATGGCATTGGGCATTTTCAGCGAATGTGCAAGCGCCAGAAACAGCCGAAGACTAGCTCTGCTGCCAAGCTTGGACAGCTGAAGCTACAGCGTGCGTCTCGCGTGGACCGTCGCACAGTACCTGTTTCGACCATGCTGCAAACAGAGGATCAGCCATCCCAACTGTCCTGGACACCAGACACAGGCAGTGACGTTGATGCCATTGGCGAGGAGCACCTCAAGCAGATCGGTGGGTTCGTCGAGAACTTAGATGACGACCACGACTGTGTGCAGGCTGTGACCGGTGAGCCGCTACGCAACCTGGGCAAGATACGTGCGACTCTACGAGTCGGTGAGACGCAGCATGAAACCGTCATCCATGTGTACAAGGGTCTACACGATGCCCTGCTGTCTCATACCTCATTGCGTGCACTGAAGTTTCTCCCACCTGATTGGCCAGTCCAATTCACCGCTGAACACGAGGGTGCATCTTCACCCAAGATCTGTGCAGCTGTTTCGTCATGCGCTCATCCTAGTGATGCTGAGTTAGCGCGGACACGTGAGCAGCTCCTGCAAGAGTTCGCTGACGTTTTCTCGGATTCCGGTCTGAAGCCAATGGAAGGTCCGCCAATGGAAATTGAGCTACAGCATGATTCTAAGCCTTCCTGTGTGCACACTGCTCGACCAATACCGTATGCATTCCGGGACCAGATCAAGACTCAGCTCGACGGCATGGTCAGCGACGGGATTATTGAACCAGTGACGGAGCCCAGTGAATGGTGCCATCCGATTGTCATAGTAGACAAGAAGGGCAGCACTGAGAAGCGCCTCACAGTTGACTTCAAGCGGCTGAACGACCAAGTCCGTCGTCCCGCGCATCCCGTACATACGGCATGTGACGTTGTCTCTGGAGTTGGCTCTGCTAAGTTCTTTACGAAGCTCGATGCAAGGCACGGCTACTGGCAGATTCCTCTCAGTGACACTGCTCAGGAATTCACCACGTTTATCACCCCGTACGGCAGATATCGTTATCTACGGAACCCGCAGGGTCTAATATCTGCTGGGGATGAGTTCAACCGGCGCACTGATGCTGCGTTCTCTGCCATCCCGCGTCTCGGCAAGGTAGTCGATGATTGCCTAGCGTACGACGACGACTTTCTGTCGCATGTCAGCCACGTGCGCGAGATTCTGCTCTGCGCCAGGGAGCATGGTATCACGTTCAGCCCCGCCAAGTTTGTGTTCGGTACGCAACGTGTCCATTTCTGCGGCTACAACGTCACACCTGATGGCTGGGTCGTCGACGATGATAAGACGTCCGGTATTCGCCAGTTTCCAGTACCCGCCAACAGAACCGATCTCCGTTCGTTCCTCGGTCTAGTGAACCAATGTGGTGAGTTCACTCCACATCTAGCCGAGTTGACCAATCCTCTGCGTGGCCTGCTCAAGACCTCCCGTGAGTTCATGTGGGACGCTAGCCACACTGCAGCGTTTGAACGGACACAGGAAGCTCTCTTGTCTCCTCCGGTACTCGCTTTCTATCAAGTTGGTCAAGACCTCCGGCTTGAAACCGATGCATCCGCTCTAAGAGGTCTCGGATTCGTGCTTTGGCAAAAGCAGAATGATCAGTGGCGTATTATTCAGTGTGGATCCCGCTACCTGTCTGATGCTGAAACACGTTATGCTGTCATCGAGTTGGAAATGCTCGCTGTAGTATGGGCCGTGCGCAAATGCCGCATCTACCTGTCTGGTGCGCCATTTGAAGTCGTCACCGACTGTTGTCCTGAAGACTGAACTGCTGTTACATACTACAGAGACCGAATATAAGGTAAATAGGTGCGAGGTACATATTGTGACATAACTAACACCAGGGTACTAAAGGTGACACCTACATAGTATCTACTACCACATTACTCCAATGCTTTAGTAAAAAGCTAGCAACCGAATGAAATGGGCAACGCAATATATTAATAAAACAACCGAGTAAATCAATTTCGAATGATCATATATCTTGCTGAATCGAATGATTAACCCAACACTTTACCAACAAGAAGTTGAAAAGAATGATCAACCCAAACACTCTAGCAACGAGAGGATATTACTGCTGTCTATTCTTGCTCATGACTTTGATAGAATGAATGCTGCTATTGTCACTACTCCGGCTACTAAGGATGCCATGCTATTATAGTAAAATCGTTTCAATCGTATCCTAGCCGCTCCACAGGCATGCTCACTCTGCTAGAACGTCGAGGCAGCTGTGGCTGGTTGTTGTCGGCTCGGGCTTCTTCTTCCGTTGTGCCTGCAGCATCTTTGTCAGACCCAGGGCTACGGCTCCGCTCGGTGGTCGCCTCAGTTGCTGATGGCGGGATAGTCTCCCTGACTTGCCGGCGGTTTCTTATGGCCGTGCGCACACCGTCTTCCACCACCACTTGACGGCCTTCCTGTCGTATGACACACCATTCCTTGGCCGGTTGACTATATCCGTCTTGCAGTACCACTTTACTGCCTGGCTCGAGAGCAGGGAGCTCCCGCACGCCTCTCTTCTGATCGTGTTGATGGGCCATTCGCATTTTTTGGTCAATTTGCCTCTCCCGGTTGATGATTTGACCGTTAGCTAGATTCGGCAATCGTCCTCGAAGGGCCCGTCCAAAGAATGCTTCTCCTGGTGATGTCCCAATCATCCGATTCACGGATGTACGAATGCCGAATAGCGCTTGCTGGAGTCGCTGTCTCAGAGGTAGTGATGAAGGCATCCCACTCAAGCGCCTGCGCACGACGCCATGGAATCTCTCCACCATTCCGTTGGAGCATGGATACCGCGGGCTCGACTTGATATGCTTGACTCCTGCTTTCCAGAGAAAAGTTTCTGTTTCGTCCGACACCAGCTGTGGCCCATTGTCGCTAACTAGCTCCACCGGTAGACCATGTCTTGCGAATACTTCCGACAATGCTTGTATTATGACTCTCGATGTGGTGCTGGATAGCAAGAGCAACTCGGGATATCGGGATCCGTAGTCGATGACCGACAAGAAGTGATGATCCTCGATCTCCACGAGGTCCACCGCCACCCGATACCAGACTGGTAGGATTTCTGACGGTTGGAGGGGTTGTGGAGGATTCCGCTGCCTCTTCCAGCATGTCGAGCATGTCCTAGCGAATTCTGAGGCATCTTTGCTCATGGACGGCCACCATACACTTTGTCGCAACGTGTCCAGAAACGTGTCGAGTCCTGGATGGCCTTCGTGTGCGATACGGAGGACTTGGTCATACAAGGTACCGGGTATGACGATGCGATTGTTATGCATGACGATGTCATCAACCACTGACAACGAGTCCCTTATTCGAAAGTATACCTCGTCGCTGCCGTCGCATGTATTCCACTTGCCTTGTAACACTCTGTTCCTGACTCGACTTAGCTGACCATCAGTGTCTGTGGCTAGCCGGACATCTTCGCAAGAGATTGGAGCTTCCCCCAGGATTAAGCCAACATACTCCTTCATTGACCTGGCCTCTGCCGGACTGGCTTCAACTGCTTGGGAGGGGGCTCTCGATAGCGCGTCAGTACAAATCATTGACGTTCCTGGCGTATAGGTCAACTGAAAGTCGTACGGGAGGATTGCCAGCAGCCATCGCTGCACTCGGGCTGGCACCTGATCGAATTCCTTCTTTACGATTGCCACCAGAGGCTTGTGGTCAGTGAATACGATCACTTGTCGCCCCAGTACGAATTGGCGGAATTTTACCAAGCCGAAAACCACAGCCAGCATCTCTCTCTCGAGCTGCGAATACCGTGTCTCGGGATCCTTGACAGCTCTGCTAGCGCATGACACGGGTTGAAAGCGGCCATGATTGTCCTTCTGCCACAGTATAGCTCTCAGGCCACATGGAGATGCATCCACACTAATGGCCGTCTCCCTGGTTGGCGTGACGTCGAAGAACGACAGACGGAACAGTCTAGACGCGGCCTCCTCTTTGAGTGTGTTGAACTCAGTGTTGGGTTAATCATTCGATTCAGCAAGATATATGATCATTCGAAATTGATTTACTCGGTTGTTTTATTAATATATTGCGTTGCCCATTTCATTCGGTTGCTAGCTTTTTGCTAAAGTATTGGAGTAATGTGGTAGTAAATACTATGTAGGTGTCACCTTTAGTACCCTTGTGTTAGTTATGTCACAATATGTACCTCGCACCTATTTACCTTATATTCGGTCTCTCTAGTATGTAACAGCAGTTCAGTCTTCAGGACAACATTGGCGCAGTGAACAAGCAGGACTCAAGATGGCAAGTTCTCTCGGCAGAGCCCCAAGTTCCTTTCAAGTCTCTGAGGACACGAACCAAGCTGAGGAATTCGCCTTGTGGTTGGAAGACTTCGAAGCCTACCTTGACCTACAGAAGATCGACGCAGCCGCGCAGAAGAGGAAACTGCTGCTGAATATTGGCGGAATCGACCTCCGGCGGATCACCAAAGGCTTGGTTGTGACCACAGCTGAGGCAGAAGGGGATGTCCCACCTGACACGTACACTCCTCTGAAAACGGCCTTGGAGAAGTATTTCAAGCCTTCCATCAACCTGACAGCAGAACGGCATAGGTTTAGAGGTCGGAAGCAGAGGAATGGGGAGACTGTGACAGCCTATTTGTCAGCCCTTCGGGCTATGGCACAACAATGCAGCTTCGACAGCACTGATGTGGACACAATCGTGAATGGAGTCATCAGAGACCAGTTCATTGAAGGACTGCAGTCATCAGCTATAAGACGAGAACTCCTAGCGACCGCAGATCTGACGCTAACTGCGGCATCGGCAAAGGCAGTAGGAATGGAAGCATCTATACTGGACTCGCTACTGTACGAGCAGCCAGTAGCACCGACTCCGCAGCCGCTATCATCATCATCGACACCAATGGTAAACAGAGTCATGTCAGGAGAGGAGTCCAGGAAAGTGGCAGGAGCCTCGGCACAACCTCCTCGACATAAAAGGCGGAAAGGAGCGTACAAGTATTGTGGGGGGGGGGGGGAGAACATACCCCGGGAAGATCCTTTTGCCCGGCAGGCCGGACTAGATGCCGGCACTGTGGGATAGTGGGCCACTTTCCTCAGGTCTGCCTCCGGAAAGACAGACTCAGCAATAAAATAGAGGAAGATACATTGGTGGTCGAAGACGAATTCGAAGAGGCTTATACCATGGAGCCTGCGGCAACGCTACGCGCAGCTCATGATCCCCGCTATTGGGTCGATGTGCGGGTTGATGGTAAGATAGTACACGGTCTGTTAGACACGGGTGCCACACGGACAATAATGCCCTGCACGGTCGTCCAGCCAGAGGAATTACCGGACAGACGACTCCATGGATACGGTGGCCAGGAAGTCCACACACTTGGTACGGCGACCGCAACGTTTGAAGCAAATGGCAGATCGATAGCTTGTCGGTGCTTTGTGGTCTCACCCGGGAAATGTCCCCTCTTCGGACAGGACGTCATTCAGCAGTTACAATTGGTCACTGTCACCGTTGATGAGCCAGACATCAACACAGTGACTATGCCGCCGGTAGACATTGCCGACATCAACACAGTGACTATGCCGCCGGTAGACATTGCCGACATCAACACAGTGACTATGCGGCCGGTAGACATCGCCGTGGACCCAAACGCCGTGCCTGTGGCGTCTGCATGCCGACGACATGCTTTCAGCATCCGCGAGGAGGTCAAGGCAGAACTAAGTCGAATGTTGGAGGCTGGAATTATCGAACCAGTGAAAGAGGCGACTCCATGGATCTCACCGATAGTTCCTAGCCGCAAATCTAACGGCAAGCTTCGCTTGTGTATAGATTACAGGAAGTTGAACCAAAACATCATTCGGGAGAAGAGAGCCATGCCTACCGCTGAGGAAATAACAGCCCAAATCCACGGTGCAACGATTTTCTCGGTCTTGGACGCAGAGTCTGGATTCCACCAAATCCCGCTGTCATCCAGCTCACAGCCGTCGATGTCTACCGGCCGCATAGTCACTGTGTTGATGTCGGCAATGTCTACCGGCGGCATAGTCACTGTGTTGATGTCTGGCTCATCAACGGTGACAGTGACCAATTGTAACTGCTGAATGACGTCCTGTCCGAAGAGGGGACATTTCCCGGGTGAGACCACAAAGCACCGACAAGCTATCGATCTGCCATTTGCTTCAAACGTTGCGGTCGCCGTACCAAGTGTGTGGACTTCCTGGCCACCGTATCCACGGAGTCGTCTGTCCGGTAATTCCTCTGGCTGGACGACCGTGCAGGGCATTATTGTCCGTGTGGCACCCGTGTCTAACAGACCGTGTACTATCTTACCATCAACCCGCACATCGACCCAATAGCGGGGATCATGAGCTGCGCGTAGCGTTGCCGCAGGCTCCATGGTATAAGCCTCTTCGAATTCGTCTTCGACCACCAATGTATTTTCCTCTATTTTATTGCTGAGTCTGTCTTTCCGGAGGCAGACCTGAGGAAAGTGGCCCACTATCCCACAGTGCCGGCATCTAGTCCGGCCTGCCGGGCAAAAGGATCTTCCCGGGGTATGTTCTCCCCCCCCCCCCCACAATACTTGTACGCTCCTTTCCGCCTTTTATGTCGAGGAGGTTGTGCCGAGGCTCCTGCCACTTTCCTGGACTCCTCTCCTGACATGACTCTGTTTACCATTGGTGTCGATGATGATGATAGCGGCTGCGGAGTCGGTGCTACTGGCTGCTCGTACAGTAGCGAGTCCAGTATAGATGCTTCCATTCCTACTGCCTTTGCCGATGCCGCAGTTAGCGTCAGATCTGCGGTCGCTAGGAGTTCTCGTCTTATAGTTGATGACTGCAGTCCTTCAATGAACTGGTCTCTGATGACTCCATTCACGATTGTGTCCACATCGGTGCTGTCGAAGCTGCATTGTTGTGCCATAGCCCGAAGTGCTGACAAATAGGCTGTCACAGTCTCCCCATTCCTCTGCTTCCGACCTCTAAACCTGTGCTGTTCTGCTGTCAGGTTGATGGAAGGCTTGAAATACTTCTCCAAGGCCGTTTTCAGAGGAGTGTACGTGTCAGGTGGGACATCCCCTTCTGCCTCAGCTGTGGTCACAACCAAGCCTTTGGTGATCCGCCGGAGGTCGATTCCGCCAATATTCAGCAGCAGTTTCCTCTTCTGCGCGGCTGCGTCGATCTTCTGTAGGTCAAGGTAGGCTTCGAAGTCTTCCAACCACAAGGCGAATTCCTCAGCTTGGTTCGTGTCCTCAGAGACTTGAAAGGAACTTGGGGCTCTGCCGAGAGAACTTGCCATCTTGAGTCCTGCTTGTTCACTGCGCCAATGTTGTCCTGAAGACTGAACTGCTGTTACATACTAGAGAGACCGAATATAAGGTAAATAGGTGCGAGGTACATATTGTGACATAACTTACACCAGGGTACCAAAGGTGACACCTACATAGTATCTACTACCACACCGACCACAAGCCCCTGATTCCGATCATCAACTCATATTCGTTGGATCAGATCGAGAACCCGCGTCTTCTACGATTACGCCTCAAGCTCCAAGCCTATCAGCTGCAGGCATCTTGGCGAAAAGGTTCCTGAAAATGCCTTCGCTGATGCGCTGTCCCGGAATCCTGTTGGCATTCCTTCCACCACTGATGAGCTTGGTGAAGCCCCGTCGCTTCATTGCCGCAGCATTCAGATCTGCATGGTGCACTTGGACACTGAGCCGAATGCGAATCTCAAGGTTGCAGAGCTGCGGGAAGCTGCAGCTGCAGATGCCACGTACCAGTCATTGATTGAGTGTATCTTGACTGGATTCCCTGATCGCCAGCAAAAGTTGCCTTCTCCGTTACGTGCGTACTGGAATGGACGTGAGCATCTCTCCGTCGACCATGGCATTATGTTGAAGGGCAACCGCATTGTTGTTCCTGAATCATTGCGTGCTCAGGTATTGCACAACCTCCACGCATCACACCAAGGCCTAGTGCGTACTAAGTCTCGTGCGCGTCAGCTTGTATACTGGTCCGGTATCACCAAGGACATTGATACACTCGTTCGTTCTTGTCCTGCTTGCCGCGAACAACAGTCGTCCCAGCCAGCTGAGCCCCTGCTGAACGACCGCACCCCGACACTACCGTGTGAATGTGCATCTGCCGATTTGTTCACTTGTCAAGGTCACGACTTCCTTGTGTATGCAGATCGTTTGACCGGCTGGCCCTGTGTCGCGCGTACTGGCTGCACCACCTCATCCCATGACGTGATACTAGCATTCCGTCGCTGGTTCTCTGATGTTGGTGTTCCTGCTGTGCTGTGTACAGATGGTGGTCCCCAGTTCTCCTCGCATAAGTTTGCTGAGTTTTGTAAGCGCTGGCAGGTAAATCATGTCATGTCCTCTCCCCACTACCCGCAGAGTAATGGGCACGCCGAAGCTGCTGTCAAAGCCATGAAGCGTCTTATCACCAAGACAACCGTGAATGGCAATCTTGACACAGATGACTTCCGCCGAGGGCTACTGGAATGGCGAAACACACCTGGCTCCTCTGGTCAGAGCCCCGCTGAGCTCCTATATGGCCGCTCTCTCC